CGATGGGTGGCCTCACAATCCCCTGCAGCAAGGACGTATTCATTGATGTCACTTCTCAATTGAGCGAAATATGAAATTAGCTAGTAGTTTAGACTAATAGGAAGCAATTTTGTAAAGCAGAGCTGTATATATGAACAAAGCTTTAGGAGGAAAATAATATTCCCCCCATGAAAGAAATGTTTTTTAATAGGAAAATGAAGTTAATGACATTTTATTTTTCAATATGGGTTCCTCATTCTTCTGCTGCATCCTCTCTTTTCTGCTCATTAATTGTGTTTGTATAGATATTGCTTTGTACATTAGTTTGCTTACTTTGTTTTTGCATGGTGCATTGGTCGAACTTCAAGAAAATTTGCTCTCTGTGTATGGTGCAGATGGTGTTTGATGAAATCTCTGTCAAGAAAATTGTTGGGTGAACGATCTTTTGTCAGGCTAAAATGTACAAAATGGACAATACTTGTGCTATTGTTCTGAAATGCAATTGCTATTTTCATTTTTCAAACAATTTCTTCATTACTTTTGAATTTTGTTCTTATCGTATTTGGAGTGCTAAACTTTCTTGGATTTTTCTCTAATCTTTTGTATATTAACTGTGAGCTTGAGAACTTTCTTGATGAGTTCAAAGGTTGAAATCTTGATATATTACCTAAATCACATTATTTTTTTGTTAGTTCTGCTCACAATTTTAATACATTTTCAGCTGAAATTTATGCAAAGCTTTTTTAATTAAATATTTTTTTTCTCGACGTCTTTGAAGAGAAAGATTGTAGGTCAGATCAATCAATTCCGCTGTAAGCAATTAGAAAAGCTTGCACAAGGAAAGTTTGCCGAAGGGGCGCCGCTTATGTCTGGTAATCAGGTTTGTTTGGCACTGGGAGAGCGAAACTATGTTGCTAGCAAGGACTGGTTTGAATTCCCTAAGTTGGTCTCAACACTTAATTTTTAATAGAGGGATATGAAAAGGCTAACGAAATAATGTAATTAACTATTCTTTTAAGACGGGGGTGCTTTGGTGGCACAATAGAGGGATATGAAAAGGCTAACGAAATAATGTAATTAACTATTCTTTTAAGACGGGGGTGCTTTGGTGGAACCCCAGGGTATACGGATACTGATGCTCTTTGAGGTGCATTTTAGTTATGTTTTTTTTTGTGTGTGTGTACGTCCATGGCTCAACCAATGCTGCTTAGAACTGCAATTGCGGATAGCAACATAGAGTTGAGTGATGGAGTTGGAATGGTGTGATTGTGGTTCTTAGGCCCTCAATTTCTAACGTTAGTTATGAGTTTGCTGATAATAAACCTTTCAGCTTAAATGCAATGACTAATGAATAGGCTTCTTTATTTTCATGGGGTGTCCCTGCAAAACGTTGACATTGAATGTGAAATGATAAATTGCATACAGGTATCATCATTTGAAGTTATACCCAGAGGATGAGTCTGGTCCTTTGTCCACTAAGAAGCCTGTTGTCGCAGAATCCTACGATGAAATTGTTTTCCTTGAGCCTTCAGAGGGTCTCTTATCCCAAATGAAAAATCATCCTGCAGTTATTGTGCCCAGACCACCTGCAGACATTACTTTGCCTCCTGGTGTGTCTTTTTTTCCTTTTTTGTTCTTATTTTTTGGTTGTTAAAAGGATTTTTCTATTCACCATACTTCAACATGTTTTTTGTGCTTGTTTATAATGCCAATGGAGGATGTTAACAGAAGGAAGAGGGGTGACATGACTGGACACAATTGATCATCGCTTGAGCCAGTGGTTTGGCAATTTTTCTGAGGCAGATGAACTATTAATACTTGCCGGTGCTCGCCAACAGGTCACTATTAATGGATTTAATTGCTCTTCTACATTTTTCTTGCTGCGATATATCTGTCCTTGATTCCCTGAAAATCATCTACCTGTTATCTTTAGGCAGATATAAAAATGAAGAATTTTACCTCCAAAATTGTATGTATTAGGAAGGAAACTTACCTCTAAAATTGTATTAGGAAGGAAATTTCTAATGTGTTTTACGCTCATATTCCGTGTCAGACAGTGTCCATATCATATCATAAACAAAGTTAGTTAAATAAATTACTCTCTGCTTCCACATGTTTGTTTTGTTCGCAGTAAAATGTACATTAGCCTTATGTTTCCCTGAAGCAGACGAAACACTACAAGTTTGTTGGATTTAGTACCAAAATGGGTTAATTTTACACATTTAAACTAACCTCTTGGAGAGAGGAATTTTACTCCAGAATAGCAATCGTCTAACTGGTATCACCAACTTTGTAGCAGCTTTGTTAGCATCGTGCGTCTATGTATGATTCTGCACAGAACTTGCACCCACTAGCTTCGAATAAGAAATCTTCTCAGCTTGTATCCAGCCAGTACAATTGTCCCATTGAATAGGTCAGATTTGGATCAAACTCAATAGAATAGAAAAGTTATAGCTGTTACTTGATCCGATCCATATGCCCTTTGGCCAATACACAGATCTCTCTGCAGATCCTAGTCCACTGGTGATGCAGCCAGAAATCAGGATCAAATATGAAAATCTAATTTCCCCAGTTTTGTTGGAATAAGAACTGTTTAGGAGAAGTGGAAATGGAACTTTAGGTTGTAATCAACCAATGAAAGTAGCCAATTTATACAAAGTAACATTCATTCTTTATTTAAAAATCGATAGTTTCTCCTTTCCTCATTCTCAGCTTTATGTCTTAAACGTGTTCATATGTTGGCGATTTTGGGTTTGATGGATGGGCAGCCTCCACAGCTAAAATCTACATCCGACCTGTAAATGTGCATTATATCTCATGCAATGCGTTAAATCTTATCACATCAAAAGATTGACATATCGACAATTTCCTACTTGTACTATTATTTTCTTGTCAGACAAGAAAGCTTCAGCATATTTATATGTAAGTACTCGAAAATGTAATGCAATTGATGATATGTATATACCAGATTATTAATGTTCAGAGTGCATTATTTCTTATAGTTGCACTAAGTGCTCTAGGACAGTTTAGATTATACATTATTTTCTTGCATGATTTCAAGTATTTTCTTATTCAATGCTGTTGTGTGTCACGCGCACCCAGCTATGTACACTTCATTAATATCGCACTAATATGTACACTGTATCACAACTTTCATTTTCATTTGTAAATACAATTCCAAACGATATGTTTTGCTGGGTTCGATTAGTCAAAATGGGTCAGACAGCATGGCCTGTGGGCTGGCTCGCTTGTGAAGAGCGTCTGTGCAGGCTTGACATTGTGGCCTGTAGTTAGTGGGGTCTGGTCTACAATAGTCAATATAAATAAATAAATAAAACTACAACTAAAAAAATAAACCATTTTCAGAAAATATTATTCAATGTTTTTAATTGCAAAAATATTGTGTGTATTTGTAAATATCATATAACACTTTTTTTTTTCATCTCAAGTTGTAAATGTAAAATATTGTGTTATGCCACCCCACTACCTTCACCACCATAATCGGCTCCCCGCCACCGTCGACCACTTGGACAACAAACAGCGGGTCCAAGTCTCATCTCATAACCATTACCATATTCTCATCACCACCACGACTAGCACAAAATTGCACTCCGACGAGAGTTTTACCACAACCGTCATCTCTACCCGGTAAATTTTCACAACCACCATCATATGCCCCCACCACCACTAAAATTGCACAACACTACCACTATAAAACCAAATCAATGACCCATAAAACTAGATTCACAATTCATAAAACTCGGAGTCTCATCTAAATTCACATTCGTGATCTTTTTCAGAGGTTGGTGATGGTTGTTGATGTCGATGGTAGCGGCAAGATGGTGGTTGGCAATGTTGACTAAGTGGATGCAATGTGGTTTTGGAGTTGGTGGATTATGGACGCAGGCGGTAATCGTGGTGGAAAGAGGTGTGGTTTATAGTGGATATGGGTGGAGGGATTTTGTGGTTGTGATGGTATGGAAACAGTAAATTGGGGGATGTATGCATACTATTTTGAAAATTAGAAATAAAGGGACAATGTTCATGAGAGTAATGTTATTTAAACACCGACTTAGGTGACAGTAACTTGAAATTAAATGAGACATAAAATTAACGAGTAACTTAATTTCACATTTCTTTGAGTTTATCATATAGCGCCCCTTAAATTGGTATTATAGTATTAGTGATGCTAGACAACATTATTCTTTTCATAAATACACAAGAAAACAAACTATTTTAAAAAATAACTCAATGTTTTTAATTGCAAAAATATTGTGTTTCATTAGTAACATAAAATGTTACAATTTTTTGTAACACGTAAAATACTATATTACTTCGCTACCACTTGGACTACAAACATTGGCCCAAATCTCATTTCACCATCACTGTACTACTCGCAAAAAATGCCACTCCAACTAGAATTCGACCACCACCGTCATCTCTACCTGACAAATCACCACATCTATCACATCTACGATCCATAAAATCAGATCCACAATACATAAAACTCTGTATCTCATCAAAATCCACAATCGCGACCTTTACTCGAGGTTGGTGATGGTTGTTGATGTCGATGGCAGCGACGAGATGGTGGTTGGGGACGTCGGCTCAGTAGATGGACTAGGTTTCGGAGTTGGTGGATTATGATGGACGTGGGCGGCGGTCCTTGTGGATGGAGGTGGTGGTTTTATGGTGGATGTGGGTGGAGGGATTTGGTAGTTGTGGTGGTTTGGAAACAATAAATTAGGGGATGTGTACAATATTTTGAAAATAAAAAATAAAGGCCAATATATTTGAAGTTATGAAAGAAAATGGGGTATTCGGCGTACTTTCCTTTAAAAATAAAATTTGAATATGAGACTGGTGACTCTATAGACATCACAATTTTTTTATGGGGCACTTTTTATTTGCATCAAAGGTCCTCAATTTTTTTATTGTTGTACTTGTGTTCTCAACTTTTTTTTTGTTGCATTTTAATATAAATCTTTCATTAATTAGCCCATTTTGTCAGTTTTAGTTCCAAAAAATCATTAAGAAAGCATAAAAGGCTTATTTTCTCCATATTTTAAAATAAACAAAGAAAAAATAACAAATACAAAAATGGGACATAATATTTTCCCCTCATTTCAAATTATTTGGATACAAATCATCATTAGGAACAGACGTGCTAATAAATATAAATTTGAGAGTAAAAATACGAGAAAAAAGTTGAAAAGACTTAAGTTTGACAATAAAATATTATTAGACATTTTTATGCAATTAAAAAAGTGATACACAAATGAAATTGTGATGACAATTTGAAAAATTAATGTTATAATAAATGTGACCTAATCCAACACGGGTAATGCATAAATGTGGCAGATCGAAATTGGTATGGTTTGACGTAATTGACTTTGCTATGATTACATGGTCTATCACTTCGATTAGAATCACTTATAATTATATCAAATTATGTCGATTTTAATTGATGCTAACGTGATCTTGAAATTTCGAGATTTCATAGCTACATTTTAGAATATGAGTAACATGGGGTTCATGTGCAATACGGACGGTTCGGTCACCATCAATTTCAAAGAGGAAAATTCGGTTTATGATTTTGTTTGTGCATAACGCCACATTTTTTAGGGACCATATCATGTGCACCACTTCCCTCTTTTTCATCCTTCTATTCCTTTTCTCATACAATCTTTTTATTATTTACATAACATTACACTCGAAGTAGTTTATAGCACATTAGGTACAGAGAAGATTGGACATGACTAGATAGTAAAAACTCAACGCCAATAGAATGTCATTGGGTGAACTGGACAATACTAAATAAGTATAATCTTATCGAGCATTCTATCACACATGTCTAGTAATGTATGTACGAAGTTATGTCGAATTAAAACGAAAGGGCGATATGAAGCATTTGATCTAATAGCTTTTTACATAGTTATCAGACTCTATCCGAACATAGACCCAAACAATGCAGCGGGTCAATGTGTTAGTAGTTCAATCGGTGACCCAGTTGTTCAATCGGTGGGTCATTGCATAAAAACCTATAAAAAAATATTAAGTATTAATTTTTTTTTAGGGGAAAAATTAAAATCTTTAAATTATTTAACTAATTATTTAGGTCTATAAAATAATGTAAAAGATTGGATCGAAGTTTCTTAGAGGTCCAATGTTCAATTCTCTTTGACCCAAAAATTTTGTAAGAAAATTTTAAAACTCAATCAAACCGATCAATCGGGCCGGGTAAATCACCGGTTAACTCGGTCAAAATCCGATTTTGACCGAGTCAAGTACATTTCTATAAAATTACATTGCCCAGTCCGGTCAAGGGTCCGGGCCAGTTTTTATAACTATGGCTTTTTAGATAGATTTCTCGGCCTTGGAACATGCAGAGATACAAATTTTCCGGCAATTCGAGTGGTGCTCAATTCAACTGAGTTGGTTCATTTCTGATAATTGCTATTTTCCAATATTTGGTGGTGTAGGTAGGCCATCTTTTGCTGCTAGTTTCAATTGGAGGACGAAATGGGTAGACCCATTTTTCTCCAACAGGCCTCTCTACATTCCAGCCGTACATTGTTGGTGTTGCTACCAAAATTATCACTTGAAATAGAATTAAGAACTAGAATTGCTCGTCGAGAAAAGACTATATAGTTTATTTTTCTGTGTAAACGATAACGATCTAAATGCGCCGATGTTTTAAATAAAATTCATTCTAAAATTGTGGGTCACGACCTTATGTTACTTTATATTCTAATAAACCCTTTAGCGTCAAAACGAAATAACAATAACTTAAACCATCACAAATTGTGAGTGAGAGAACCAAGTTATACAAATCAATCGACTTACAAACTTATCAATCTAAAGAAGAGAAAGAATTCACCATGTGAGGTACTTTGTTCATGGAAGAGAATGAAGTAACATGATCAAAACCTACATTGTCAAACAAAGATAATACATCTGATTGGACTTCTACATTCTGAGCCCATCGAAAAATAGACCTTAGTCTCCACCCTAGAATAGTCCCATTGTCCTCTTTGTGTGTGCCGCCACCATGCCAAACTCATCCTTAATAACTGTTTGTCTTCCTTGGAATTTTTCTTTATTGTGGTCTCTTCGTTGTTACTTTTGCCGAATCATTAATTAACGAAAATCTTTGCATATATCAAAGCCTTCTAATAATATTGCCTAACCCATCTTGTAAAGTTCTCAACAGACACGAAGCTATGCATTAAAGTTAAGCATGAAATGTCTAAATAAACTGCCACCCTAAACTAAAAAGTTTATTATTATTGGGTTATTTCCTATTATGAGGAAAGCCCATGTTTGGGGTCTTAAATTATAGTCCTAAGCTCATTAGGTAGTTAATCCTAATGATGGATATAAATATAAGAATATTGGAGAAAATAGGAATCCAACTCGTTTTTGAAAAGCTCCGATTTTCCTGTGTTTAGATCGAGCTCCGATTTCATCAAAAGTCCGATCTCAATTCGTCTATGGTCCGATCGAGCTGAAATTTGGAGGAGAGGTTCACAAGACACAGAAATACAATGGTGAAGATCGAATTTTGAGTTCGGGAACATTGGTTATTGTGCGTGAACAATAACCGGATTTGTTGATATTTTTTTTCCTATTTCATATTGTTTTGTCAAAATTTTTGTTATCTTAAAGAAATATACGTTGTAGCCTCTAGTTTTGATTAGAAAAGATTTTGTGTACCCATTATTTGATTGATAGTGGAGGTTTTGACAGGACTAGGTCCCATGGTTTTTATTCCTAATGTCGAGGAAGTTTTTCCACATAAAATAATTGTGTGTATTCTTGTAGTTTGTGATTGATTTTTTTTAGAATATTTTTAAGCATATAAAATTGTCGGAAATGCGTTTTACTTATTTTCTTCTGGGAGAAGAATTATTCCGCTGTATGATTAGATCTCTTTCTAGAATCACTGGAATCACTTCTATGTCTCTCTTTAGTCTTCTTCTTATTTCTAAACACTTTTTGAAAATTCTTAACAAAGTATGGTATTTCCTCATCATTAAGTGATTTCGAATAAGAAGAATCGTACTCTTCTTTGTCCCTAATAGTGTTCAAGGCTATGGACTTGTTC